CCGGAAAATTATGTTCCGGGAAAATATTTTCTAGGAAAATGACTTCCGGGAAAATATTTTCCAAAAAGAGAATATTTTCTGCCAAACGAACGGAGCCTTAATATGGAAATCATCCCCTAAAACTAAACTAACGTAACATGTCTAACATTCAAATCAACAAACAAGAACGTCCTAACCATTTCTAGCGAATCATAACATGCATTTGAGCTCAAATGGACGAGATTGACTGACTTAGAATGGCCAATGGCCATGGAAATACATTTCGACAAGTGTTGGTTGTTTCGGCGACGAGGTTTTTACGGTCCAACTCAATACAAATGCCAAGCCGTCGATCCAAAATGCACAAACCGAACCAAAAATGGATTAGAAACATAAAGGGAAAACGAATAAGCATCATTGAAATGAGCAAATCCAAAAATCACACACGAATTAACTCGGTAAGTCATTTTGGCATTTCATCGAACAACTAATGTGTGACTATGAAGGGTTTTTACCTTCGTCATTTGAATGCAAATCGGAAATTTCGACCCGAAAGGCGGCTATAGGATGGTCTACCAACACTCCCAATTCAATTTAGTGCCCTCCAATTTTCCGGAAAAGTCATTGATTGGTTGATCGGGGCTCGTTTTCTGGTGTTCGCAATCAGCCGCTTGATTGGAATAGGGAAGGGGAGGTCACGGCCAAAGGCCGATTCGCCGGCGCTCCTATGGTTAGGGCGGCGCTGGACGCTCGGTTGGGGACCTCTAACCCTCTTCCTCTCACTTTCTCTCTCTAGTTTCTCTTATTTTCTCTCTCTCTCTCTCTCTCTCTCTCTCTCTCTCTTTTGGGCATTCGGTCGAGCAAGTGATGTCTATGGAAGTTGGTTTTTTTTCTCTTTTAACCGCCTCATCGGGGCAGTTTTACCCCCCTAACTGACTCCCAAATCGGTTGGGACGGTTGACTATGGACATTTGGAGATCTCTAGCTTCCCAACCGTCCTCAATACGTGCTAAAATGGGAGGAGTTTGTTGGGAAAGAAGCGTGCCAGATAGTTTTTTAACTCTCTTTTTCAGCTCATGGTCTGGCCGGGTGAAGAAGAAGACTGTGTCGGGTCGGGTCGGGTCAGACCCCGACTGACCCGGTTTGACCAAAATTACAAATTAAACCTCCTATTTTACACAATTTTGAAAATTTAACCCCAAATTCAGACTCCTTGACACATTTTACCCTAGAATATGGGTTCAATTTGAATTTTCACTTTAATTAGGTCAAAATCCCCAAATTCAAATTCGGTTTACTTGGGTTTTTGTTCAATTAAGTGTCTAAATGACATAATTAAGAAAAATTGAGTCCAAAATTAAATTACCCATGTTCAATTAACCCTAGGGAAGGTATGGGTCTTGATTGGAAATTTCAAATTGAATGCAATCCCCAATTTGGGTCTTAAAATCCCTAATTTTCAATCAATTTTGGGTTTTTTTTTTAATATTTTTATCAAATTGTGAAATTGGACTTACCAATGTGCAATTCAAGGTCCCAGAATAAATCTTTGTGAAGACACTATAGCCCAAAAATGACTAGAAATGGTTTAGTTGAGTTTTTGGTTCAATTAGGATATGAATTTGCCCTTGATTTGGGGAAAACATATTCCCAATTGAAATTTTGTAAAATTTACTTTGTAGGACGAAAATTTGATTTAAAATAAGACTAATAACTATTTTTTTTTGTAATTTTTGAATTCCATTTGCTATTTTTCTTGATTTTCTACCTATTTTTATTAACAGAAATTAAGGAAAAATTAAGAAAAAATCTAGAAAAATTATTTTTGGTTTAGAAATAAGTCCCTAAGCATGGAAAAGGTTCCTAATCCTAATTTTGTGATTTTTAGGTAAAATTGAAAAATGGACCCGAAAATCATGTGTCAACATTAATATATTTGATGAAGAGATAATCTAAGTGGCTAATTGAGAGTAGTTCTCTCCAGTAGAATTGTACATGAAAAAGGCGAGAAGAACTTGTCTTTTCAAGTTTTTCCTATATTTATTTCCAGATGTTATTGATCTCCTAATATATTGTGTTGCTCGGACACATAATTAAAATTCAGTAGTTTGTCATTGAATTATGGTTTGTTGATTTTTTTCCCTCACCAGGAAACCTTTTATATCTTGTTGACAAATGAGTTTGCAGGTTTTAAAGCACCTTAGTAGTAGTACCATGACATGCAGTTGTTAGCGTCTTTAGCCACCAATGCTCTCGAAACAGAAACTAGGTAATTTTTGGGTTATACTGGTGGTCACTGATAAGCAATGGCAAAGTATTTATGCTGCATCAAGGTAGAATCTCCCAGTGGCTCAGAAAGCATGCATTTTGAAAGGTTCCATTCTATCGAGAATTATTTCTTGTACTCAAACCAATTCCAAAATTAAGATTTTGCTAGAGGGCTTGCACGTGCATAGATATACGAAAAGCCGGGGGTTTTGAATATATAAAATCTCAGGTAACATTGATATTGAATTGGAATTATCTTATGGTTCCATTCTAAGCGTTATTTATGAATGATTAACCACGTAGAAAGTAATAATGAGGATTATGAAAGCAATATCTTTATTGAGCTTTCTAACCAAAAAGAGAAATCTTTACTGAGCTCTTCCTCTACAATCTTATGGTGTAGGAGGTGTATATCCACGACATGGTCCGGAATTACATTTGGTAGTAATTTATGATTTTCATTTCATCATTGAGCATTCAACTTTGAAAAGTTGATAATCTAAGGAGTATTGCATGTACATGAGAAAAATGAACGAAACCGAATGTGCGAAGGAACATAATGTGATATCATGTTGTTGCTATGGTGTAAGCTCGTCAAAACATGCTTTTACCCTTACTTGATGCTACAATTTGCATCCTTTTACCATTAGGACTGGATTGGATTGAAAAAAAAAGGAAGGTATCTAATCGATGCATTTCCTGCAGACCGAGATTTTCACCGAGGACTAGATTGGATTGAAGACCTTGGATGAAGCTGGGAAAGTCAAATTCATCAACGTCTTTGGGAACTATCTCCAGATCTCTCTCGCCGACATGCGAGAATATATACTACCTTACTTGGTGGATGATACAGCGTTAGCGAAGAACATGGCAACAGGAACGGCTTCTAGTAGTTGGACCCCATGGATTCAAGGTTTGTATCGAAGAATGGTTAGGCTGTTCGAGGATCGACCGCTGCTCCTCTCTGTGCATTAGACAGTGATGCATGTATTTCACACACAAATACGAAAGATGAAGGGAAACGATTGTTTTTTATGTGAGCGGGTGATTGAATTTTCATAGGTTGATATGGTGGTGCATTCTTGGCCTTGTGTACCTAATTATTTGATGATGTTACTCACTGGATTGACTTGAAAGTTCTGAGATTACACTGAAAGATGACATTCCCATTTCTATGAAGGCTTATGAAGCTTTTGAAATAATTGGAAGGGAAGGATCTTGCATCAGCCAGAACTCTTGCTGTCAATAGATGCTGAAAATACGATGGTACTTCCTGCAGTTTCGCGCAACTATGCCATTAAGAGTGATGTAGAGAAGAAGTCCAAGCCAAGTCACAATTCAATGGCAAAACCTTTTCTGGTTTAACTAATCTCTATCCGCGCCTTCTTGTGAAACTTAAAACGAAATTTGGTGTTGGTAATTGCATTGCAGTATTGCTAACTTACTAACTTTTAATTGTGTCCACTTGTACAACTCACAAGGCGTAGGTAAATTACTAATTCATTTGACATTGGTATATTCATTTTCACATCGGTAACTTGATAACCTCTTACACGGTTCACTTGTAAAATTTAGAAATTGTTAACTTACTAATCAATCTGACGTCGGTAAATTCATTACGATGTCGGTTATTTATTAATCCCTACCCTATCCACCTGTAAAATTTAAAAAAAGTTGGTAACTTACAAATCAATTTGACATTGCGGATTTACATCATAAACTTTTAGGTTAATACCACGAAAAACCCTAAACTGGTACACATGTGACACATTTACCCTGAACTAGTTTTTTGACCATAAAAAATCCCGAATTTATACACCTGTGACAATTTTACCCCGAACATATCACAAAAAACCCCAAACTGGTACACATGTGACAATTTTACCCCGAACTAATTTTTAATATTATTTTTTTATTTTTTGAATTTTTTTGAATTTTTTCTTTTTTTTTTTTCTGCACTTCAACTTTGGCCGGTCGTCGGTCCGGCGACCGGCCAAAGGCAGAAGCCGGCGTGGGCCAGCCTCGTCGACATCAGGCGAGGGCCGCCCGACGCCAGATACGGTGAGGGCCGCCCGATGCCGGATCTGGCGAGGACGACCCTCGCCCGACGCAGACGAGGGCGACCCGACTTCGGCGAGGGTGGCCCTTGCCTGATGCAGGCGAGGGTCGCCCTCCCTAGATCGGGCGAGGACGACCCTCGCCTAGGTCGGGCGAGGGCGGCCCACGCCGGCTTCCGCCTTTGGCCGGTCGCCGCCGGCGACCGGCCAAAGTTGAAGGTGCAGAAAGAAAAAAGAAAAGAAAAAAAAGAAAAAGAAAAAATTCAAAAAAATTCAAAAAATAAAAAAAATAATATTGAAAATTAGTTCGGGGTAAAATTGTCACATGTGTACCAGTTTGGGGTTTTTTGTGGTATGTTCGGGGTAAAATTGTCACAGGTGTACCAGTTTGGGGTTTTTTATGGTCAAAAAAATAGTTCGGGGTAAATGTGTCACAGGTGTACCAGTTTGGGGTTTTTTATGGTCAAAAAAATAGTTTGGGGTAAATGTGTCACAAGTGTACTAGCTTAGGGTTTTTCGTGGTATTAACCCTAAACTTTTTAAACATCTACCAAAGTTGAAGAATGTTGAAGTAATTCATGAAGTAATGGCAATCAACAAGTAGAAACAAACAAAACTCATTAATGCTACGAAGAGAATATTTCTTAATTAAAATACCCTGAACTCCAACACTTTCGTTGCAACGTAACAATTATCACCAAACATTTTTCCAACTTGACGTTCAACTGCAATTGCTTAGCTACTGCTAACCCTCTTGGCTTTTACTTGGTTAACTGTGATGCAATCCACTTTTACATACATCCTTCACATAAACGGAAAGTAAAACTTGTTGGCCTTTGCTGCGCTCCAGTCATCGTGAGCACAGCAATTTTTGGCGGCGCTCAATCCAACGGGTCGGCATTGAGAGGTTTTAAATTAGACAGCTAACATACAAGTGCTCGAACTCGACAGCTGGCAAAGCAAAGAAAATTTCCCCGTGCACAAGGTCACCGGACTAAAGAACCGGCCCGACTTGTTAGCAGCTTTCCTAGAGGATCCCATAATCAAACAATAAGCCTAGGACGTATCTTTTCTGAGACTTACATGAAAACCCGAAATAATTAAGGTCGGGGTCAAGGAAAATACCGATGTGGTAGAAAATCAGGCCACATCCAAACCCAACAATAGAAACAATTCCGAGCCCGATGGATCTGGGCAATACAACATACGTAGAACAAGTAAAGGCTAGTATCATCGCAATCTCCGCCATGTAAGTGCATAGTACTGCGGTGTTGGCATATCCTACCCTTAGGCGATTGCTTGTGTCAGTGGCAAAGTATTGTAAGGATAATGCCAGCATTGACAAACCGAATGCTATAGAGTTCAATATCACAAAGGCTTGGAAAGCTGCCCTGCCAGCAAGAATCGCCATTCCATCGTTGTTATAACCTCCGGGCATCGTCAAGGACGCAGCGAAGGTGACTGTGGCTATGAGCACTGACGCTAGTTGTTGAAACTTGGCAAACGAAGCGTACTCTTCTCGGATGGTGGTATTACTTTGTGTGTTTTCAGAGACAGCATGTTGACCTTTAACATATTGCTTGTCTAGCCTCTCCTCAACCCAGCCTTGAAAACCCAGGAATCCACCAGAATTTTCCAACACATGATAAACTTTTGCAGCACTGTAGCCAACCTAAAATGGACAGAAAATATGAATTAACGAGTGGTCTTTCCCGGCTAAATACTTCTGAGACCCTCACTCTACACAACGAAAACCCTTTTATAACAAGCAGAAGTCCCGGGGAGTGCTAAATTAATGAAGAATTCAATTAATTCATCTCTTTTAGATAAAACCAGTAAATAGAGTTTTTTGAATTAATCAATTACGGTTTCGGGTAATCCTATAATTAAGTGAAATTATCTAGGAATTGATTGAAATCCTTTTCCCAGATGGGGCAGAGTCCAGGTTCTCTGTTTTACCTCAAAACTGTTTGAAAGGGGCACAAAAGAAATAGAAGGATTTTAGCTAAATATTCTACAAAATATTCTGATTCATTTCTATGAATGTCGCACAATAGTTGTTTCAAAGTCAGAAGGTGCGTATCACCGTTTGGATTGGCATTTTCTTAAGTTACATTTTAAAGCTACCTCTTAATTGGTTGACACCTCAGCACAAGAGCCATTAGACAGTTCACATTTATACTGTATTTTTCTTTCTTTTTCCTTTCCTTTTTTCTTTACCTTGTCCCCTAACTTTAGAGGAACCCAACCCAAATGTTTTGCATTGCTTTCAAGTTAAATAGGACCCACTATTACTTTTGAACTGGTTGAAGACCGCCTGTTGCATGGATTTGAAATTTATACCAATTGAAAATTTTTGTTTTTTTTTGGTTAATTTTTTAATTTGTTTTGATGATATTGTACGATCATACAACACAATATTTACAAACGTCACACATTATATTTTAGACAACTAATATATATTTATTAACCAAACAACAAATTTAACTGATATTGAACATTACTTTACTAAGTGGTTTGTCTTAAACTATATCTTGTTATTTGAATATTTTGTTGATTAAACTATTTTTATTATATGCATTTAACTATTGCTATCAATACTTTTTGTGTGTGTGTGTGTGTGTGTGTGTGATCAGATTTTTAAGTGGGCTTTTATATGTGGGAATCCGTTAATAGGTTCAAGACTATAAGTATTAATTGAATCTATAAGGACTTCTATTTTTAACATTTTTGCAATAATAACTACTCGCAAGTTAATCAATTCGTAAACTGAAATTTGTATATGACAATGCAAATTCATAACTATGTTATAGATTAAAAATAGAAATTTGATCACAACTTTTTAGCTACAATATCGTGTTACTTTTGTAATACTCATTAATATGTCTTAATAAATTTTTTAAATATTGTAATTAATTTTACATTTTTTTTGTCTTGAATGAGCTCCTAATAGGAGGTGGGTGATGGGCCCAAAAGGGGCCCACCACGGGAAGAGATCCAATGAAACCGATATCCAAAAAGTACAATTATTTCGCGGAAAATGAATGATTTGAAAAATATTTTTATAAAAAAATTGCTTGTATTGCTTACAAAAATGAATAAATAATTTTTTTATCGTTCATGAAAATATTTAGACATAAATTATTACCGATAATGAAATATTTTTCATTGACTAATTATTTCAAGCGATACAAACAATCATTTTTATGAGAATATTTTCCAAATTCTTTATTTCTATAAAACTCCGTTTATTTCGCAAAAAATGAATGATTTGGAAAACATTTGACTTAAAATGATCGCTTATATCACTTAAAATAATTAGTGAATGAAAAATATTTTCATTGTCAACAACAATTTTTATTTAAAAATTTTCGTGAACAGTGAAATTTATTTTTGTAAGCGATACAATGGATCGTTTTTAGGAAAATATGTTTTAAATAATTCATTTTTAGCAAAACAAACGGACTGGCATTTTTGTGCACGCGTTCAATCTATAAATAAATTGGTATTTTGGAAAAAAGAAAAAAAGAGATATGACCCCACACATTTAGTTACTCATAAATATATATACCAACTCATATACATGAAGGAACCACAAAAACTTCATAAAGTCCCTTACCAAAAAAAACTTCATAAAGTTATGCGAATTGATGTTGACATTCTGTTGTAGGAACATTAATGATAGATTAAGCGGGATAAAAAGCCTTTTTATTTTTTGCCTAATTAATGTGATAGTTGGTAACTTGGTGTGCTAAAATTTTTTAAGTAAAGTGTGAGGGAATGAAGCTTTGTTTAATACGTGGTTTGACCATAAAGTTCAATTTTATTCAACTTTCGTACTATTTATAATTTAGAGATGAAGTATGAAATCACTTCACTCTGAGTCCCTTTTTCAAACGTATGTCACCCTTACATAAAGCAATCTATGCTACTATTTGCTGGGAAAACTGAAATGTAGTCAATATGCTGAAACAATTGAATAAGCAAAACAAGTTGATGCAAAAAGATTTCCATTGGGATGTTTGTTTCCACCTGAAATGAGTATCACCAGGGCCACAGTATCTAAACGATACTGAAGAAATGACTTTGCGAATGATCAAATCAAGCTCTATGGTGTTCAAGCAAGCATACCTCTTTATGAGCACGAAAAATATCACAGGCTGTCAAGTGATCCTTATTTGTGGCCAAACGGTCCACCCTCTTGTCTCGTGCCAGTATGTATATGATGTTGTACCGTTTATGATGCGCAGCTAGATGGAGAGCCGTGTTTCCCTCGGCGTCTTGTTCGTTGATGAGATCCTCCGGGTTTGGCATTTCTAGTATGTGCTTGACTACATTTACTTGTCTACCAATAACAGCTGCATGAAGAGCCGTTTGCCCTTTGATGTTTATCATGTCACAAGCATCAGGACAGAATCCAAGAAGCTCGTCAATGACATTGACGCGGCCACGAAACGCTGCAATGTGAAGAGCCGATTGCCCCTCTTTGTCTAAGTCATATGCCGCATAAGTATCGTGTAGTAGGAGCATTTGAACTACTTTGACTTCGCCTAAGAAAGCGGCATAATGAAGAGGAGTCCTACCCATTTCATCTTTTTCTCTGATCAATTCTGGTCTCTTCTCCACGATTTTCTTCCAACCTTTGCAAATACAATAGGAATATGTCATGTTAGACTGTTTTTAGCACCTTGACATAGATATTTAACATTGCATTTTATCCCATTTAGCTTTCCCCTTTTTCTCCGTACTAGGTTATGATTATTCTGAAGTTTCTCTAGTGATCTTGTACAACACATGTAGAATCTAACTACATTCAATCTAGCATGATGCAGGAACTTGTAATTTTTTTCATTTTGATAAGTGAATTTGTCAGAAATTCGTAAAGTTGATAGAGAAGAAGCTTCTTTTCAATTCAGCAAGGCATCTGCTCTGTCAAGGCTAAAATAAAAGACCTAGGCTTTTTACTCTGATGCCAATTATTTTACGGGAGTATCGTGCCCAACTCAATTTTATAGAAAATTAAATTGAATGAGGACTTAGCACCTTCTACATTTTCCAAAGGTAAAATCATTGTACCCTCGTTTTTTCAAGTCATCATAATTTTCGCTCGAGGGTTAAAATTTTTTTGCATTCATACCCTGATCTTTTGGAAATATATTGCAATGTGCCCTATCATCAATTGTAAACTGACAAGCAAATAATCATAAGCAGAAAATGTCGATAAAAAGAAGAATTAAAAAAAAACGAACTGGATGAGAGAGAAAGGGGAAGACGTAGGGGTATGATGGTGGTGGTGGTTGCTGCCACCGCCACCGCTGAAGGGTTTGATGATGATGGTACCTGGAGAACAAGATCTTAGAAAAATGTGTAGAAAGAAATTAAGTACGTGCGAAAAATACAATCTTAATAACAATGACTTTTTTGCAAATGAACACGTAATCCCAAATGCAGTTGGTTCCTTGGGAAATTCTGTCTTATGATGCTACGTACTAAGAGAAGACGAACCGGTTGAAACTTATTTTATAGTCAACGAATAAAACAATAAAGAGAATGTAACGAGAATAGAAACCTGAATATTTTGAAAACATAGCCCTCATGCATAAAGTGGTCAAGAGGCATGTCCTCGGAAAAAGCTTGTACCTTTCACCAATATAAAAGTAATAACAAATAAATAAATGGTTGTGCCTTTTCCCCTCCTTTATTTAGACACTCCGTATCGCGGTATTTTTGAACATTTTATCCCTTATGCGGTGGTCAAATGCACTGTCCCTCTTTTTTTTTTTTCAGGCATGACTTTCCTTCTATAGAGTGTCCCACTCTAGTCCCTTTTTTCCATTTTTGTGCTTTTTCCGGTGACTGACGGAAAGCTTTCAACTTAGCACTGCATTGAAATGTTCTGTGAGAGAAAAATGGGAGAGGGAAAAAAAACATGAGATAGCCGAAAAATGGAAAAAAGGAATGGAGAGGGACCCTGTTGTTGGTAGGACACTAAAGGCGTGGGAAGATAGGAAGGAAAAGAAAGAGGGGCAACACATTCGACCAAATAAAAAAAAAGGAGAGTAATGCTAAAGTTGAGCCACATAAAAGATAATTTGGTTGAAACACTATGATAGGGAGTATATAAGTCAAAGGAGTGAAAAAAACACGGCCCGTAAATAAATATTGCTTATATTATTATATCTACAAAATACTAGTGTAGATGGGGGCCGTCACTGGTACCACCAGCAATCTCACCAAAGAGAAGCCTTGCACTAGAGAGAAAGATTCGGTTAAAATTTGTTTCGCTGGGTTTAGAATCTTGTGATACTTACTTGGTGGTAAGGAGTACACTGCGGCATGTGGAGCTGTCGCACCTTTAGGGCCTTTATGAGAGGATGACGATGAGAAAGCACTTAAAATTAGCTCAATGATATCTGAACGTCTTCGATGTGCTGCGAGATAAAGCGGGGACTCATCAACAGCATTAGTAATATCACATAGTTGAGGATCTTCTTCTATCAGCAACTGCACCACCCCCTTGTGACCTCCTCTCACTGCATAGTGCAGCGAGGTATCATTATGCGAATTCAGTCTCCTAAGTAGATCTTTGCACGCATCAGGTTGATCCGGTGATTTCACCTGATCAGTGAAGACTCGAACCGCGTCATAGCTTCCCACTTTAGCAGCAACATGCAAGGGAGTGTCTCCTTTGTTGTTACCCTGCCAAAGAAGGGACGATCCTGATGGATGTTGAAGAAGATCTTTGATGAAATTTACCTGCTTGTATTGAGCTGCAACATGAAGAATGTTGTTCCCCTTGGGAGTCTTTTGGTGGAAACGGTACTCTCCATTTTCCGCAATTATTTTCATCAGGGAATGAAAGTCTCCTGACTTTACAGCCTTATACACTTCTGGATGCATTCTCACTCTCTCTGTCATTCTCAGGACATAGAGTTATTGCAAGTGAACTTATCAATATAAGCAATGAGTTCAAGTAGGAGGAATTTCTTTGAGCTTTCTAAGAGGATTGATCTAAAGGGAGGATGATAGAGAGGAAATTGAGTTGGGCTTCTAAGGAGTACTAGAAAGGAGACATTTATATGCACATGATGGTCCTTCAATTGTTCTTATGAAATCGAAATAAATTTATCAGATTTAGAGAATAGTTTCCAAAAAGTCGAATCGGTATGCCCTTTTGGGATTTCTGTTATCCTACCCGCAAACAAATAATAAGAGGGGTAACTCTTGTTAGAAGGAAAGAGGGCAAGTACATGCATGATTCGAACATTATTCTTGAAGAATAAAATCTGATTGAACTTATTTATTAAAGTAATGATATTCGCGGGCCCAATTGAAAGGAGTCATTGTGTTATAATGTCCTCAATCATTTTAAGCTGTAGTTTCCTGTTTTTTTTTTTGACCGACAAGTCCTTTACTCTTTTCAGTCTTCATGCTCCTGGTATCCCTAATTCCTCGTGAGTCATGCATTCTCATCTTGTTACACTCGAAGATTACATACGTAAGCTTTTAAGGTCCACGAACTTAGGTAAAATTAGTTGACGCCCAACTCGAGGATCACCTCTGCTTCTATGACCCATTGGCAAAAGCCAGAGTTCATAATCATTTGTTTTCTATAGTAATGTTTACATAATATACCGTAACGAATAAAAATCTAAAAAAATTTATGATAGTTTAATGACTATCTATCATTTTTACTATTTGGAAGAGAGATGTGGCAAAAGCTAAAAAATTTTAATAAGAGAAGGCAAGACCCGAAGCTGTTTTGCTTTGTCAGCAAGGGTTCGGTGACCGTCGCTGGGTTGTCGGTGAGAGTCAGCGATAGGGGTGAGCAACTTGGACCGCTCAAATCGGGACCGGACCGGACCGACGGGTTTGGTCCAGTTCTCGGGACTATCGGTCCGGTTCCTGGTTCCTAAAAGCGGAACCGGTTTCCGGGCAGTTCGGTTCCCGGTTCCAAGGGGGAACCAGACCGGACCGACTATTTAATATATATTTTTGTTATTTTTTTCTTTAAAAAAATTAATAAAATGTGAACTAAACTCTAAGTGAACTTCATTATCATAAATTCATTGATAAAAATTACTAAAATGTGAATTAAACCCTAAGTGAACTTCATTGACAAAAATTAGTAAAATGTGAACTAAACCCTAAGTGTTTAACAAAAAAAAACACTAAACTCTAAGTGACCGGTTCCATTGGACCGGACCGGCAGTCCAGTTCGGTTCCCGGTCCTAGAACCAACCGGTCCGGTCCGCGGTTCCCAAAATTGGGAACCGGTTCTCTCGGTCCAGTTCCCGATTTCACCTTGGAGCCGGACCGGACCGGGAACCGATCACCCCTAGTCAGCGACCCTTGTTGGGGTGTCCATGGGTGAGGCCTTGCAAGCCCTCATCTGCACCACACAATGGTCACCACTGTGAATTTATATCTAAAACTGAATTCGCAAGACTATTCTTCTGATGTTTTGAACCTGTACCGCTAGGAACATTAGCTCCAATTATTTCTGTTCATAGATTTGGCAATTAGTATCCTATCGGAACCCCTGTGACATTATGCGTATGTAGAACTGAATACTCTGTTAACGGTAAAACTGCATTGGCAATACATAACCTTTTTTTTTTAGGTATGTTGGTCTAGGCCTTGGTCCCACATTGGTGCCATGATTAATTTTTTGTTAGTTCACTAGAAAGCGGACTTATTTTTGTTGATATACTCTTTCCACTGTCTCATACTTTGTAGAGAAATGGGAGATGGCTCATGGGACTCGTAGACTATGCACTTCTAGAGCATGTAAGTTGTCATACGACCATTGCATGTTATCCGTAATGATTTGTATCTGATGAATCCGCGGCAATCTGTGATGTTCCTTGCCTTTCAGACTGCCATTGCTTGTGAGAAGGTGTTGACAGTTTCTGGTGAGATATATCGTCTTCCGGTACCTGAAGTTCACTTTATCAGGAATAATTTCGATATCACTGGTGAAGAACATGAGCGAACTTAGCGATGGCTTTAACATAGTGGGGCTTTCTCAGGTAATGACGTTGAATGTCTATCTTAACCACATTATAAGTCACGAACTATGCATTCCCTCATGTTGATGGAGACATTCTCCGTATTCTGTATAGTAGTCATAGACAAGTGGGCAATCTGTTAGATCTACTAAAACAGTAATTCAATTGGTCTTGAAATTGAACATATTGAGAAGTTTGTGATACTTTATTTGATGCAAGAGAAAATCCTCAGCTGTCAGTTGAGTGAGCGAGCAAATTGGGTTGACAGCATCAAAGGACTAGAGCCTGGACTTAAACTGGCTTAGACTGTTAGTACAGGACTTAATTCTTCATCATCTCTAATTTCAATGAGTATACAACATGTTAGGAAAGAGAGGATGTTGATAATGACTGCAAATCTTATTAACACCAATTTTAGTTAAAAATAAAATTTATAATTTTAAGCTATTGGGTAGTTAGGAAGTTTAAGGTGGTATCCTCGTGGAAAACTTGATGTATATCTAAAGTCTACAAAAATGCTTTTGAAAGCTTAAAAATTGATGTTATAGTAGCCATTATTTACCTATAAACATGGGGTTTAGATGCTACAATGGTCAGCTATTTATAATTATTCTATGCCCTTCTATGTTGTAATCCAGTAATTCTTAGGTAACATAACCAACATACTTTATTGATGCAGTATATCGACAGCACAGTTTGCTCAATAAGAGATGAATGGATTAAAGATAATGTTGTAATCTATGTATTCTTACTGTTGTATTTGTCCTGTTGCCAGTTACCTAGTTTCTCATGTTCATGGTTAGAGTTATCTGTCTACCATCATTGCAACTTACCTGCCTGTCTCAAAGAGCACCATGATTGGTCGAGGCGTCGTTGAATTTTTGTGATGGAGGACCTCTGGTGAGAAAAAGTTCTACAAAGGGTAAATTACACAGTTCTGTGTTATGCATTCTTTCTTTTCGATATTGAGGTGAAAGCAAGTAGAGATTCATTAAATATCGTTCGTAGATTTTATTCCCCTTTTTCCTTTCACAAGTCTTGTGATGTTCTTTATTGTACTACGGGCCAACTTTTGAGATGATGCACGGAAGTTCTCTTTCTTGTCTATTGTTCTTTAAAGATGTTGAAGGATAAAACTTTGAATCTGCAGAGAAAATGTGATTCTACGCTGCAAAATTACACTTTATTAAGCCATGTCACCATTGTGTAAATTTCTGCGACTTCTAGTTTGATCCTAGAAGTAATACTTGACTGCAGTCGTGGGCCTTTCAACAGGAATCTTTTCCTAGATCATTTTGCCTGTGCTAGTAATGCTGTGGGCCTAGACTAAAAACCTTGACTCCGTTGGCATAAAACATCTGAAGCTCCTTCAATCTGTCTTCGTATTTCAAGCATGATATTGAGGGAAGAGTGTGCAGAGAGAAGAGAAACAATATCTTGACAAAGGTTTAAGGAGGAATTATTGACTGGACTGATTTCTGTCCTGTAAAAGATTAACTTCCTCATAGAGGAACGTCGGATTTTAAGGATGATGCATAAACTGTCGATCACAGGCCTTTTGATGTTCAGTTTACATTCGTGTATTTCAAGGGTCTGCAGCACATTGCTGCGCTAATTCCCCGTCTCCAACCAGCTCGCTAGATATTCTGGAGAACTTTGGATGGAACTTGGTACTTATCTCATTTTTCCTTCTTTACTAGTCAGAAATCTCAATGATTCATACCAAATATTTTCCTATACTGCAGACATGAAACAACAACATAATGTCACAAATTAAATCAACTGTAGAGTTTGCTAAGTTCTTTCTTGCTACAACCGTATTTAATATAATTGATGAATTTGCTAACCTGTCTTCTTGATGTGGTGGTCCTTGGCAAAGGAAAAAAAGTATCATACTGCTTAACCAGCAAAGAGAGCCATGTTACTTTGTTCTCTTTCGCCTGGATTGAAATTTACGATTCCTTTGATGAAAGGAATAGCATATGGTAAAAGAGAAAGGGTGTTGTGTTAGGACGATATCATAACATGTCACATTCAGAATTTCTAATGGAAAGTGAAAAATTAGTTGGGCCACGGAAAAGAAAACTTAGTCTCTTCTTTTTTCGAATGATGACACTCTAGTCCAAGTAAATGCGGGGAAAAAGGAAAAGAAAACTAGGATGAAAGAAAAGAATAAAGTTATGTGTGCTTTCCATTTGTGAATTTTTTTTTTTTAACAAGTGGACAATAGGGGAGGTTTGTTTCCATACTTCTGTTCCTTGCCATTGACACCATCTGTTGGGATTTTGGAACCAAAATCCCATAGAATTGAATGAGAAGTGTGTGGGTGAAAGTGTCCCACATAGGGTAGAAAAGAGATGGGAGATGGGTTCAAATAGTTGAGAGATGGGAGATGGGTTCAAATAGTTGAGCCTCACAAATGGGTTTGGGCCCCAAGGGGTACCCCAGTTTTGTGGAAGAGAGAGGACCTACGTCAAGCTAGGTTGGTCCACCCCCCGCGCGCGCCGCCACCGGCCGGCTCGGTTCGGTTCGGTTCCGGGTTCACTCTCTATCGGTTTTTATTTTTTTCGAACAGACACGTTGTTTAGAATTTATTTATTTATTTATTTATTGGACAAATAAACATGTCTGTTCGTGAGGTTCGGTTCGCCCGAACAGAAAACCGAAGCCCTTCTCTCGACTGTTCATGAACCGAACCGGTTCAAGTGAACCTTCGCTACTATTCACGAAAACTCGCGACTCTTCATTTTTCGTCACTTGAATAAGACCGAACAGTTTAGTTCGGAATAGACATCACCTCGTGGCATTCATTTTTTCCCGACGCACTCTACGCATATTCACTTCATCATTTTCATTTGGTGCGTTTGTTCTGCAAAATTAAGTTCGTTGGAGTCCTCCGAATACGTACCGCTTCGGAGGAACGAG